TCCAAAAACCACACGCCCTGCTGGCGACGTGAGTGAAATCTGTTGTATTCCAGCCATTTCAGAGTTGACAACAATGCAAAAGGCGAGTTAAATAAGCATATATGTAGGTATTTATGTATGAAAATGCACATATACATATATCTGGATGTTTGTATGTATTACTTGCTTCTGGATTTCATGTCCAGGGTAGCAGCCAGCTGTCCAGGCAGGCCGTCAGCCGGTTAGCCATCCATATATGACATAACAGGTTCATAAATTTTTGTTTTTGTTTCCGTCGAGCTGCCGAGCTTAAAGATGGATAGCCAGCGGACGGATGGAAATGTGCAAAGTTTTCACAAAGTATTAAAAAAGCTCGTAAAATGTCATAAACTTTTGTTTCCTCAGGATTAGACCGGGGTCCACTACAAAATCCGAGCTGAAAACAATGCCAACGTCAGCGAAAAGGGAAAATATTATGTCTACACTTAACAATATACTTTTATTCATTTCACTTTTGTATTGTTTTTTTTTGTTTTCCGTGCACTTTATGAATGACTTATTTCCGCTGAGCTCCGAATTTACAAGCATCATCATCATCATACCTCAGAGCTGGACGCAATGATATTTAAGAGTCAACAATTGCATTTGAGAGTCAAATTTAATACTACCACAGCTGGTCATGAATATCGTTTTATTTATTTAGGCTTTCTTTCTGAAATGAGACTAGTTTTCTCCACAGTCATTGTTGTTATTAGGACTCAGAGCTTGTTTTCGTTTTGGTTATTAGGCTCATTTAGCCTTTTATGGCCCGAAACTGTTTCACAATCGATATCATTTGGTCTTTCCCAAATATGGATGAGCCATATTAAATTTCATTTAATTAGATTTATTTGTACAGCATACAGAACTGACTGGGCGCCAGGCACAACAGATACATATCAAGTTTTATTGGCTTGGGACCACAGGACAACCGGGCCGCAACGCCAATTCGGCCCCAGGGTTTTGTTCAATAGTATCGACACTGGCGAATTCCCATTTATTAAGCAAGTCAAATGGGACAATAAAATATGGTAGCAACCAGCAGCTGCGCTGTGGAACGGGCACAGCCACTGCCAGCCCCATAAAGAAATCAACACAATTTTGCATGAGCATCGGAAAGAGACAAACAGGACAACGGCAACATCAAAGCTGCAAGTGCGAAGCCCGGACAGATGAGAGCGAGTGCTGGTCCGGGCAAGAGCTGGAGCTGGAGCTGGAGCTGCCAAGTACATGGGAATAAATCAAAACAAATCAATTTCTTCTGGGCCATTGACTCGGCAACTCCCGATGACAGTTGTCTCTTCTTCTTCTTCTTGTTGTTTTTTTGTGCTCTACACTGAATCCCGTTGGCTTCCAAAGCATTCAATCGAGCATTCGTTGTCCCAAAGCTGCGACTTAGACGTCGACAGTGTGAACCCAGGGGGATTCCTACAGCGTACAGCAAATAGTACTGACAGTTAAATTGAGGCTAAGAGAACGTGGTGGCTGCCGGCGCAAGGAGCTCCTCTGAGATTTGGAAGTCGTCAAAAGTAAAACAAATTGTCGATTGCAATATTGTGCGATGGAGTCCTTGCATGCGAGCATACATACATCATATGAGTATCTCTTCCATCGAAAGCTAGAATTTACTGGAATCTGCAGTAGCCACTTGCGCTCGTATGCAAAGCCAACTTCAGACCCTTACGTAGCATCGTAAATTTGCATTGAAATTTACTAGCATAAAAGACATAGTGGGTAATCTGTCTCTGAAAAAGAGCTCTGCGATTAGCGGAAGAAACACTTGAACCGCTTGACTCTGGAGTAAATCAGCCGATTATTGAGTTAGAAAGGGGTTCATCATAAAATATCTCATATATACCTATTTATTTGCTTATTACTAAGCCCATTTCTGAAATACACATGTGTGTCAAAGACATGTCCCTCTCTCTCTCTTTGCCGTAATTCTTTTTGGCCTTTTATGAATATTTTTGGGTACAAGCGTGTGTGTACAGTGTGTGCCCTAGCAAAAAAGTAGAATTCGGGCTAGGCATCATTAGTCACGAAAGGGCAAAAGTATTTATTTTGTACATTTTCTCACTTGATGTCCTATGTAGGCTAAACGGTCGACGACCCAGTTTATTATGTCAATATTAAATTTGCCGATTAAGTGCATTTGGAAACCAGAACCCGTTTATTTAAGAACCCTCATGTTAGGCTTCCTTTAAAGCCCACAACCCATTGGTGTTCAAGGTAATGTCCTTTACCTGGCTCCTGCATTTGCTTTGAGCGACATTGCTGAATAGATTTTATTCAATGCGCTGACATAATCTTACACATAAATAAGAATATACATTATATAAATATTCAATCGTAATCTTCTTTCAACCAAGCATTCAGTTTGCAAAATTGTACATTTGGGCTTGTCGACAGGAGTGAGACGGGAGCCCATATATTTAAATTATTCATAAGTATGTAAAACGATGCGGTGCACATGTGGATACTATACACACACACGCACACACACACACACACACACATATTTACTTAAGAAGTTGAGAAAGTAATGTCGGTGCTCAAAACAAATTTCATGCCCGACAGTTTTCCATCACTACACTCCCCAACACGCTTAGCCCCTCGCCGACCGGTAGGCCCATAAAACGGTCGGCCTTTAAGAGTGCCAGCTACCGGCATCTGTCTGGAGCGCTTTCAATTTCGAATCAAATAAAAAGTTTCATACAGCCGCCTTAAAAGTGCGGCATCATTCAACTACTGGCCAGCAACTGGAGACGGGAGTATATAAGTGTACTATATAGTACATATATATATGCACGATGACTGTGCCGAGGCAGACCGCAAGGTCAAAGGGACTTTTGCTCCCTTTTTTTTTGTATTTTTTATTGTATTCTCAATTTAAGCAACACGCTGAATACACTCTCACTTTAAAAGGTAAACTTTTTCGATGCTGCATTGTGAGGACAGGCAGGCGGAGATTCAGGATTTTATGGCCGAGCGCAAAGCGAACTTTTATTTGGATTCGCTCCATACCAAAGTGATTCGATTGCCGAAGTCAAATGGCACCAATAAAAACTTCAGAGACTTTCGTTTCCGAGCGGCAACGTCCAACACATTGAGTCAAGGACTAGCGGAACCATTTGGAAGTTTCCCCTAGACCAGCGCCATAGCTGTAAAGTCATAACAATTAATTTAATGTGCCGCCAGCTGGCACAAGTGTGCAATATCAGAGATATGAACAGCAGGACGCGTTAGGAATAACAACATGTATGCGACTTATCTAAGAATTATTAAATTTAATATTCATGTATGCAGATTAGTAAAAAATAAAGTAGATAATTTGCGAGAGGAACAGCGTGAGAAAAAGATCCAATCCATCTTGATGCCAGTAGATACAAGTAGCTATCTGGTCAGCAGATGTGGCCCACTTGCATCCGCCCGATAGGCGAATGGGCGGTCAAACTATAGACTTGAAATATATTGTCACTGGGCGTTGCCCTGCCATTTGGCTGTTTGGCCATGGGCCAGTCAACGGTCAGTCCGTGATTATACGTATATATATACTATATATACCATGTAGAAATAATTACGAGCCACGCTGGGTGCTCATGTTGCCAGAAGCGAAACGCACCATTTAAATATAATTTATGGCTTGCAATATAAATCAGTCGGCATTCGGTAGTTGGCAGTCGGTAGTCGGCAGTCGGCAGTCACCCGCATTGGGCTGCAATACCCTCAATCTCAGTGTCTTTTTTCATCCTGCTCGTGCTGGCTGACACGCCCCTGCCATGGGCAGTCATCAAAAACAAAACCAATTCGCACGCTCAGCTCCCCAAACTCATTAGTGAGAGAAGCCAGAAATGAACGGTAACGGCTAAATTATATTTCATGTCCGAGAACCAACTAGACCCTGCCCCCTCTTAAACCATATAATACATACATATTTAAACTGCGCCCGCAACTGTTTTGGTATTTAAATTGCTCAGCTGATAATAGATAGACCTTTTCAATTAGTTTTTCCTTTGAACGTTCTGGCAAATTGTCGGAAATTGATTCATTGCAGCAAACTAATTGAAAGGCCACATTCATATAAATGGCCTATGCCATTACATCGTTTCAATATATTATAAATATCCATTTATATATTTATTATTATAAATATACATACCATATAGCAGCAGCGCGACCAGAAGTAAGTTGTAGCTTTAGGCAAAGGTATAAACAACAGAAGCGAACCAACGAAAATATTTACCAAGAATTTTGTATAATTTGGCATGCACCTCCCCAGAGGTAGCGGCGAAACTGTGGCGCGCTGAAAATGTGCACTTGGCGCCTAGCTTGAAGTGCGGAAACGCATTTTTAGCGCCACGCTCCAGCCACGCCTAGGAATCCGCCTGAGCTGAGCTACTTGAAGGCTTTTGCCAGCGTTGGGCTGCCACCATTTCGTGGAAACAACAGCGCGCGGGCTTTTCAGTATTTTTCCTCGCTGCGTCGACTCTTGTTAGCTCAGGTGATTGGCGCAAGAGCTCGCCGCATGGATTCTAGTTAGGTCGCCTCATCTGGCCTCCGCGTGGAATTCTTATTAAATACAGCGAAAAATACTGAAAGCCAACGAGCTGCCTGATTCAATTTAGTCTGTTATAAAATATAAGACTTAGCCACAACTTTAGGGAAGCATTGAAATTGTAGTATAAAATCATAAATTCCAAGAGACGCTAGCTGTGCTATTCCGTAGGAATTTTATTTAAGTTGATATCGTGTGGGTTTAATTAAATTGAATATCCCCATCAGAATCCACACAAATGCGGGGTAGCTATCCTTTCGCATCTTTTATTTTTAATTAATTAAATTATAAATAACTATAATCATATTTAATTATTTTAATTAAATTCTTCTTTTCCATTTTATGCATATTTCTGAATACCAACGGACATTTCGCAATTTAAACAACTGAAACATCTCCGTGCACCCATGCCGCGAATGGCCAACAGCCCTTTTATCGGCCACACTGCGCACATATCAGAAGGCGGCCTGTGATACGGATCAGGTGGTAATTGCTTGCCCGCGCGGCACCAGCATTTCAATTGAATTTGCCCAGTACAACAAGTTTGTGGCGAAAGGTAAGTGTTGGGCTCTCACTTAATTTTACTCTCTCTCTCTCTCTCTCGGCCTCTAGAGGGCCATCCTCGGGCCATTTATTCTTAACACGTCTGCCATTTCGTGCTTTATGTTCCTTTTGCTTGTTCAGATGGCTACAGCATTGAGGAGTTGTGTCCCATCTCTGGCACCGTAAAGCCCGAGATTCGGGGAAAAGCAAAACACTTGCTGCGGGGCTCCATTTTTGGCTCCACCTCGCAAAAAGTGCCCGCCAACCGCTATGTGAACGGCGGCTATGCCATTGCCGTTGAAGTTCCTACTAGCACCAGTGGACCAGGAGGAACCATTACCGAATCTTCAGCAGACAATGCTCAAAAGAGCGAAAGCTCTCCTGAAAACTGCATGTGGCCAAATGCTCTTCAGGTAAGTAGGCACCATTTTCAGGGTGTTTTACAAAGGAACATGGAGAGCATGTCTTGAGAATAAAAAAAAAAAAAGATATAGGCGGATAGCTTGGCGTGCTAAACCACAAAAGGAATTTAAGGACACATAAAACTATTTTAAAGTGCAAGCATTTTTGAGCCTTGAGTTGTGCAATCTGCAATATATTATATCCATTGGGATTGTATTACCAGCAATTTCTTTGAATTTGGCCCTTTTTGCAATATTTGCTAAGAAGTTGTGCGGCATGTACAAAATTGTTTCGAGTCTGTTTGAGCTAACGTTAAGCAGTTAACAAAATGTCGCTTTAAATTCCAGTTGCACTTAAAAAGGGATAAGGAAATTCGTTTGTCCGCATGCCAAATAACGCTTCCAATTCATTAAACAATTTAGCTGCCTTTTCCGACATCTGAAGGCATCCTTTGAACCCAAACAAAAGATGTCGGATGACGGCGAATGAAATGATTTTAAATTTGAAGCAAATTTAACAACATAGAAAACAATACGAGACAGTTGAATTCATTTCATTTCATTTTATTTCGGTTTTAATGTGCGTTTAAGATGACACTAGGAGCTACATGTAGGTCCAAAATGAACAACATGCGAACCGCTGAGAAATGCTCGGAAAAACATTGACGAAGGCCAAAAGTTGCCTTTGTGTCAAGCAAAGTCAATGTGCTGTCTGGCATGTCGGCCTACCCGCTGTGCCGGCCGAGATGCCTTCACGTCCCATGGGGCATCATTAGGCCGGGCAGCAAACCCAAAACTTTCTGCTCAGCAGCGCCAACATGGCGCTAAAAATGGCTACCGCAGCATATAATTTCTCGCATCGTTTTTGTCTCCATTTCTCGCCATTGTTCAAGGAGCTGTTTTTGTTGTTCATCGCTCGCCGTTTCTGTCCCTATTCCCTCTCGCTCTCTGGTGCTCTGTTTCTCTGCAGGGTGATGTTGTCACTGTCGCTGTCGTTGTTATTAAATTTTGTGACGACTCGTCCAATGGTTGACGTTGCCAGGCAAATCTAAACCTGCTGTCAGTCCTGCCGTCCCGCCATACCGCCATACCGCCATCCCGCCGTCCTGTCGCCCTCATCATCCTCTTCATTCGCTTCGGCCCCTACTGTCAACACAAGATAGTGAAAAATAACTTGAAAATAAACAGTTTATATCCTCGCCGTTGTGCTATATGCGCAGCTAGCCGTGCTTGTGTGCTGGCCTGGAACTGGACGTGTCTGTCAGTTGCCTGAAACACGAAAAAGTGGAACGATATCAAGTGCAGATAGTTAAAGACAATGCGGCTCTTGATTGAATACATGCCACGCATATGGCGGACAACGTGTTTTATGCATATAATAGGTCTAGCAAATAGATCAGCATTTTAAAGAGCGGACTTTTTTTAGCCGTTTCAAATATATTATGAGATTTTAAAGGACACTAAAGCCTTACAAATGCTTCAAAGGTAGCTCAATATTCCTGATAAGCTGATTGCTCTTTTTGCGACGAAGGACACATCCTCTTGCCAAGTTCTATCATATCAAACTAAAACATAAGTAATATGTAAGAGAAAAATAAATTCAAACACAACTGGAAACACTTCAATTACATATTTAATGCAAATATTTTATTTCAATTTGTAAAAGTTTACAATTTCCGCCCAGTTCCTGAACTCGTTCACTTTTCAGCTTCTTCTGTTTGCACACCAATGCGACAAGTATGGGAAAAAAGAAAAATAAAATTGGAAAACTAAATTGCAACTGATTTTTCGTTCTCTGTTCTCGTACCTTACAGTACTCCTTGCTGCAGACTGTGGTGGAGGCCTGCCAGAAGAAAAAGCACTGCAAGTTTCACGGATCTCCACAGTTCTACGGGCTGGGCGCCAGCGGAGTGGGCGATTCATCCGGCACCAGCAGCTATCACAGCAGCACGGCCAGCTCGAATGCAATCAGCAACGACCCCTGCCCCAAGCGCAGGAAAATCGTCGAGGTCGCCTACAAATGTCGCCCATGTAAGTCAGCAGCTGCAGCGCAAATTTTGTTTAATTTGGTTGGATTTATTGGGCGTACAATAGAACACGTAAAATGGCTAACAAATTCCGTACACTACAAGCACAACGGCAACACAAAACTGGCCTGAACAATCCCGACATCGACATATAAACGTCCAACCGAATGAGTTAAACGAGAATCGGCTTCATCCGGACTTTGGCTTTTCGATTGGTTTGGGTCTGCCAGCTGTACAAGTGTGCTGCAAAAAGGTCCTCGTCCTAGGGCATGACCTGCAGCACACAGTGTCGATATTTTGCCAAACAAATACTGTTAAAACTGACGCACACAGGCAAAGGCACGCGCACACGTATTGGCAAAGGCCCAGACATCCAGCTATCCAGTCTTGCCATTGCGCAGCCACCCAAACAGCCAGTTTAGCGAGCTGTTGTTGTGCGTTCCAAAAACTCACTCAGGTGGAATGGTAGCAGCAGCAACCGGGCGGGCATCGACTAGTCCGTTAGCATTACTAAACAGCAGTTGGCGGACTCGGGCCCCCAAAGCGTGGCCAACTGCCAGGGGCAAGGAAGCGTATCGAATGCGAACCGGTAGCACTGCCGCCAACGGCAGCATCGCTCGGTGGAACTACCAGTCCAATGGCATTTGCACGTGCTTTGTATAACTTGAAAAAACATCGACGATACAAAATTAAGTTTCCGCGCAGCGCCCGGCACATGGCCCCGGGAGCCGAAGTCGGGAGCTTGGATAGGTTCAAATTGCAGCAAATGCTCTGCCGCATTGTCGAATATATACATATATATATTTGGCATTCAGCTTTGTTGTCAAAGCCAAAGTTACCATAATGACAGGCAGAGCATGAACTGACTGAGCTCTTGGCTTCCAATTACAAAGTTCTGAATCATTGATTATCTTAATCAGCATCCCATTATCGTGCCAATCGGATTCGTCACTCTTGGAGATACAAAATAGAAAAGTGCATTTCTTTTGATAATGAGGAAAAATGATCCCTTTTGATAAAATGAAATTTCACGTTTATTTGCCAATTATTATATATGAACGGAGGTGCTTTAAATTGTTGAAAATTTTTGCTAATCTTGGCATTGGTTTTGCAGATGAGTTCCGCAGCAAGGTTGCCTGCCACAACGATGTCGCTCAGCTGGAATGCAATCCGTACTCGCGGATTGCCGTTTACAGTGCAAGCTTTGGACGCACGGAATACGAGAGCATTCAGTGTCCACAGCCGCAGGGCGTCCGCGAGGAGAGTAAGTATTGCGGGTGATGACCATCCTGTGGCTAAACTGTGGATTGCATCAATCAAGCAGCGATCCTTGCCTCGCACGCTGCTACAACACTACTCTGTTTTATCTCTGGCCTTTAATAGCATGCCTTGCCTCGTTCGCCACGGAGACTGTGATGCAAATTTGCCACGGACGAAGGCGCTGCAACTTGGCCGCTGATGCGAATACCTTTGGCACCCCGTGCCAGCCAAACTCGCGAATGTATTTGAAGGTTGTTTACACATGCGGTAAGTAGGTCGTAGGAAAAATCAAGGGGCGTTTGCTCCTGCCACTCAGAATGATTTAGAGCGCGCCTTTGTTGCCGCGTCGCATCGCGTCCCATCACATCGCATCGTATCGCGCGTCAGGGCGCAAGATTGATGCCTGGTGCTTGGCGTCCGACCCTCCGTTACCGGTGACTTGGCCGCATGATTTATGTTGCTCGTTTGGGCGCTCTATGTCTTTGTTCCATAGTGCCGAAGCAAGTGTTAAAGGAGAGCAACGAGTCAGAGGTGGAGGCTGACGAAATGGAGGACTTTGAGGGCGACATCAATGACCTATACGACGATGAGCTCATCTACAAAGAGTCGGAGGCCATACCCAAGCTATACAGCAACACAACCAAAACAGTTGCAGGCAACGGAACTAGCGGCGGCGGCGGTCTCGCTGCCAACTCCAATCCAGAGGGCATTCACACCGTCACAAACGGCTCGCTGGACTCAGATGTGGATGGCAGTGGCGTCAATCCGGTGATGACACACAGCGCCGACTTGAGTCTGGAGGGTAAGTCTCTTCCAAGTTGACCTGAACGTTAGGTTACATTTGTAATAATGACAAACACAAGTCAGCGCCAGTCCATAGGGGTCTTTGGCAGTCGGTGGCCTTATGGAAAACAGTCTCGAAATGTAGGCGTAATCCCACGAGGACTCACTGTCACAGAGGACGAAGCAGACATTTTTCGCATTTCAAATCTTATTCACAAATAGCTTTAAAGTTGACTTAAATTCAATTTAAAAACAAGACGGGGTCGGACTTAAGTTAGGCAAATCCCCGGCTCAACGGATGACTTTGATATATTTATATACGAGATTTCCTAACTCGATTCCATAACCACGTTGTTCTTCGTAGACGACCAGCAGCGTCTCTATTTATATCTCTTAATTGTCGGATTGGTCGGTGTCCTCTTCTCCATTCTGATTGTGGCCACGCGCCTGGTGCTGCAGAAGCGGCGCATGGCCAGTGACACGCAGTCCAATTCATCTACAAAAGGGGGCACCGCTGGAGGCCTGGGCGACGAGACGAACATCCCCAGCGGCTTTAACGACACCATTTCCGAGATAGACGCCGACATTGACCTTACCACTTCCATACCAGTGCCCAGCGTATCAAAGAACGAGGTGGGTAGCATAACTCATCCCACTCAGAAGCAAATGCCATCTGTCATCTGTCGTCTGACACTGCAGAACTACATCACTTACGCGCCAGCCAGCAGCTTGTATACTAGTCTAGCGCCTAGCCAGCTGGCGACAGTTGGCGGACCCTGCACGGCCTCCGGTTTGATTCCCAACCCCCTTTTAATGGGTGCACGGCAGTCGCCGGACCTCATCGGCATGTCGCCAAGTACCTATGTAGCTACAAGTAGCGCCGGCAGCGCTACTGGTGCACAGGGGTCCATGGCGAGCATTTTGGCACCGGCAATTGTAATTGGCGCGAACGATCCTAGTGGAACTTTGCCCGGCAGCAGTGGCTTAAGTAAGTATCTTCATCAGCCTCAACTGGCAGGTGGTCAGTTGGACTTGTTGGGATGCGTTCCGTCAACATTTTCGATTCATGCTTTTGCAGACACCATGGTGCCCATTACATCTCTGACCCAGTACACAACGGCGCCCACCATTCGCGGTGGATACATCATTAATGCCGAGGCCATGAGCGTGCTGCAGCGACCGAGCAACACACCGACGCCACCCTCCTCTTTAGCTAGCGGCTCCCCGGCGCACCCACCGACACAGCAGCCGCCGACCACATCGCCTCTAGCAATGACATCGCTAAGTCATGTGCCTGCTCCAGGCACATCAACATTGCGCCGCACAAAGCCCGGTACCACAGCTATGCTCCATCCTCAGCTGTCCTATGACGGCACGGCCCCGCGTACTCTATCAACTGGTTTATCGGTGAGCTCGCAGTTTTATTACGGATGACCAAGCACGGGGGACTGTGAGCCTCACGTGTATACTACAGCCATCAGCGTGACCGCCCCTAACGTCCATAGCTATGCCAGACAGGATGTCACAGGTACTCAGGCAGAGTCTCATTCAGACGCTGCTCATGGGCCGGCAGCTAGGCCCTAGCCACAAGCCAACAATGGGTCAACAGTACCCTTGGCCACTTCTAGCATAAACGACAATACAAATCTACAGGGGAATGATCTAAGCCCAGAGACCTGCTGCCAGAATCGGAATCAGCAACAACAGCAGCAACAACAACAACAACAGGTGTGTAAGGAGTAGATTGCTCTCAGAGTCTGGGCAACAATGGCTGACGTCTGTTTTTAAAATATATGTATACATAAATGTATTTAAATGGACGAGCTTCCTGTAACTGTAAATTACTAATGAATGGAACGGACGCGCACTTGCAAGGTCCGAGGTCAGTTCACAGTAAGGTGCAATCGCATAGAAAGGTTAGGGTAGAATAATTTGTAGGTTAAGCATAGAAATGTTGGTCTGCGCAGAGTTCTCCACGTGAGTGAATGATACGACTTCCTGATTTTACATATGCTCACCTACTTCGATAACCTTTTGAATTTGCATCCCTTTTGCCATAATAACTGGGTTAATCGCATTTTTCTCAATGTTTAATTACCCAATCGTTTTCATGGCAACGGAACGAATTACACATTAGTGGGAACAACAGGCGCCAGGCACGACTCTCTATGCCATAAAATTATGCGATCCAAACGGACAAATGAAAACAAATTGCGTGAGGCTCATTTAATGTTATCAATAATGTAAACGCACGCATAAATATAAACATACAGATGCCATGAATACACAGCAACAACAGGCTTCACAATAACAAACACTCACATACATCAAAGATGCGAAGCAGCAAAATTCCCAAAGTCGTTGGCAAAGGGAAAACTAATGGGTTGTCAGAGCCGAGCTCCGGGATGAGATGCGAGCCTCATATATGTACATAACTCCATAGATGTGTGCGTGTATGCATACACCCCCCATAAATATCACGATATTTCCACTTCCCTACCAAAAGGAATCTTCATAATGCTCTGCTCCTATAAATGTGAATGAGAGAGAGGGCGTGGCAGAGGGAGAGAAAGTGACCTAGAGTTCATAGCTTATGCGCGCGTGCGTGTGTTTGTGCGTAGATTAGGGCGATGAGGCTCATAAACGCTTTATTGGGAGGGTTATCATAGCGGACAGGTTACATTGCAGGAGGTGGCATCATAACTCAACCACGGCGTACAACTTGTTGTATGAGCGATTTCGCGTGTGTGCATAATTCAGTGGTATGTACTTCGGATTAATGCGCTACAAACGGATGAGCGTAATTAATATCCGGGCCCCGAATAGCTATCCCTGGGGTATAGGAAGCGTCTGGCCAGCGAGTTAATGGATTGCTCCTGCGTGCCAAGGTGAGCAGCTTTCTCGTACCAATGCCTACATAACTGGATATACCTTGCAGTTTAGGCCTGTGGGAATGTGTGTGGGAATGCTGCTGCAGACAACATTTTAAGAGATAGTCATAGACTTGTATCTTCTCCGTTGCAGATCTATATATGTGTATGTGAAAATGCGTTCTAAAGCATTTTGAGTTTTTGTTGGTCTTGTCGGTTCTCATCTCTTTGTTAAAGCTGACTCTATTGTTTCAAATGTCAAGTGCCTTCCTAAATAGCATCTAAGTGTGTTCTTTCATATAAGTTGGAATGCATCCAATCAACGTGTAAATAATCAGAACAATATAGATATATATGTACATATATATATACATATATATATCCTAAAAACAATACGATAGTACTACAATTCACGTTTTAAAATAGCCGCCCGACCCCCAATTAGCCAAATATGTACATAAGATGTATAAAAAAGAAACATTCCGGAAAATAGCACAAATTAAGCAAACAAATAGGTCGAAATGCTGACCGTAATTAAAGTACAGTTGCATCCAAAAGGACCCGAACGGAAACAAAAACGCACTTTACTAACTAGCCAATTGTTTACATGCGGTGTGTTTTTGTTCCTTTGGTTCTCTGCGGTCGGCTGTGAGTTGCAGTCTTCCCGGTTCGTGAATAGAATAGGATATAATTGGAGTTATCCAATTACCAAATAACAATTAACGTATGTTCACAATAGAGAGGTTATTAAATGTATGTATATAAAATATTCGTGTTACGCTAAAATTTAGGAAATGAGCTCTGCAAAATGCATTATGAATAGAAAGTTATCGGCTAGGCGAATAGTTCGGGTACTTGGTAATATAACAACTATTCGTAGAATTAAATCATTAAAAATACATACAGGCGTATAATTAATGACCCAAAGGCATTTTGCAATTCCAATCGTACGTTTAGGTACTGTATCATAAAATTCAAAATGCTCCATGATAAATATGGAAAATGTTAATGGAAACCAAAGCATAGAATAAAGTTTCTACTTTAACTAAAACTGTGAATATAATTTGGCTATAGTTTTTTCAATTATGTATTGTACCTTTTGTATGTTTCATTTTAAATCAATTTATAGTTCATAAATAAAATATTACTGAAAAATCTAAAACGGCACACTTTAATTCCGGAATGTTAGTAAGTTGGGTAGGTAAAAAAGGTACTTGTGATTATTATCGGCCTCAATTTCAGCAGTGCTTATGTACATTGCATTGGCTTACAAAACCAAATCCCCTAAAATATTTCGTTTCGTTAATTACTTTGTTCTAGATAATCATACTAAGTATACGAATCTATGTTAAGCAGGCAAAGCAAAGCACGATTAGTTCAGTTTTGTAAGGATTCGAAGTAACGAAGCGTGAATGAAATTTAGTTGGTAGCAAGTACGCCTACCAGGAGTAAGGACAACAGAGCACGGCCCAAAGGGCCAGGAACTATGCGAAATCCGTAAGATCTGGGCGAAGAGAAAGACAGTGGCAGCCGAGTGAACTGTCTGATTAAATTTGTTGGCAGGGAAAATTTATGGGTGTGCCATGAGCTTTGGCTGCTAATTGGTTTATAAATTAGAATTTCAACGGAACATTAAGCCAGCCATCTCAACCAAATAAACCTACAACAATTTCAAACACCATCGTAATCAATATTTATTGTGCGCCAACAACAACGACAGCAACAGCAACAACAACGGCAGCAACAACAACAGCAAACTGGTGTCGGGTGGCAATAAGCTGTCAAGTGCAGGGCGGCTGTGGAAAGTCTGCAAATAAACCAAATTAAGATGGCTTAACTTTATCTACTGGTTTATTTTTTATCGGGCCTGCAGCAACTAGGTAAATGCAACAGCATTTACAGAAAATGAATAAGATATTTATTTAATAGTCGTAATAAAGAGCGCAACTATGCAGTGCGTATTTATCTATATTAGAGAATACCTGTCTTAAATATCTTCTTCTTTACAATTTTAAAAAAAGGTCACAGCAAGCAGTAATTAAACTCAAATTGAAGTTGTTGCATAAAATATTTAAGCTTCTGAGTGTACAAAAATACCATGTTATTACGCACGTATACGTTGCTTTAGTAAAGTCATTAAACTTATGGCAGCTTGTCCAAATCATGATCTGGTAACTATTTTCGGCCACGTTGTAAATTGAAATTTTAAGCTTATTGGAATGAGCTTAACCCATTTTATTTTTGTGTTTTTGGGAATGTTACAAGTACTTAACCCTGCATCGCCTGGGCAGCATAGCATGCCTTAATACTTAAGTTAATTCTTGCTTAAATTTTATATTTATTTACTCAGTTTATAAATGATTTAGTAATTATGAATGACATATATCAGGAATTATGAATGAATTGTCCAGCAAATTGGAATTCTTTTTGATTCTCTCCTAGCGCTTCTTTGTCGATCTCTTGCAACTCGAAACCAGAAACGAAACAACATGGCAACCCGTAAGCTATTCATTCCCTTTTAATGCGTAAGTACTTGCTGCAATCTAATTAATGATAATGTTACAAGCATTATTAATTAATTTGTGGCAGTCAAGAAAGAAGCCAGGCCACACTCTCTTCTCCACACTCCATTAGCCAGGTTCGCAACTGTTTGAATTTATTTTCTCCTTTAGAAAAGTTTGCGAGCAACCTGCGTGCCGCATGGCAGTGTAATTACTTTTGGTTGCATGTGCTCTGATTGTACAAGTTGGAGGCAAGCTTCATTGCGTGATGTCATCCTTAACATTTTGACCAAAGGCAGCGCAAACCTTATGGTGCCAATTTCGCCAAGATCCGAATGTGTTGCATGTCTGGCTGTTGGAACATAAGCTTTTGACTAGTTAGCCAACGACAACAGCTACCTTAAATATCACAGATTGGCCGCAAAGTGGAGAAGAGCTCATCATGAGAAGTGTTTTTTGTAGGGCGCCGACATGCAGGAAATTTGCCTGCGACACGCTGTGTTAATTACATTAATTCCTTTTTTGGCATTTAACTTTTGTCTCTTTGTGTCCATGCGTGCGTCGAGAAATGTCAACTGCGCCCCAGGCAACTGCTAAATTTTCGCACTGACGTGGCATATCCTGTTGACTGACGAACATGTCTTGTCAGAGCACCGTAAAGAGGGAGACAGAGACAAAATACCTTGATGGAATTTCATTACGTCAACACAACAGCAACAGTCTCGGCATAGTTGGAGTTGTTGTAGCCATTGTTTCCCAATCTCCCACTCTGCACTTTAATATGTTCTTAAATGAAAATCGATAATCCATAAAACACATGCGTGGCCGTGTGTATGTTTTTGCATAAATACTTTTAAAGCGACAACCACCCCCTCTAACAAACTTATGATAATTTCCTTTCTTTTGTGAAACTTTTCGATAATACAGAAAAAGTCGTCGAGGATTGGCACACACGGAAGCACTGCAAAGATGCTTTACATTATTCGCATGGCCGCACCATTATATCGATTATACATAGTGTGACCTCCTCCAAGCGATTAAGATTAAGATTGTCATTGAAATTTGAATATATACAATATATTTGTTGGCATGGGTAAGCTGAAAAGTTAAAATTCGTATAAACTGTAATAAGCATTTCACATACAAACGATAATATATGTCATTTTTAAAGCATACTTTTCAGGGTAATCAGAGTAATTTTGATTAAATTAAATTGTTTTTAACTATGTTTGTGTGAAGTCGAATTTAGCTAATTAGTTAAAGTAGCTGTAAAGTAAATAATTAATTTGAATGTATATTTAATCCGTTAATAGCTTTTTATTTTGCTGTGTATGT